TTAAGAAATTTTTTCTGTTGTTGTTGTTATTTTATGATTTAATTCAAATTTAGGAGGCACATCTTATGCATGACTTTGAGCATGATTTTTACGGTGAAAAATTAAAAATTGTTCTTCTTGGTGAAATACGTAAAATGACAACATTTAAGAATGCAGGTAAGAGATATTAATATTCATTTTTTAAAACAAAGAAATATGTTATCTATTGATATACAAATTATTTTCATTACTTCTTAATCGTTTACTCTCTGGCTCTAATGAAGCAGAGTTGATGCTCTGTCAACCATGCGAATAGCTTATACAAGTGCTGATTATGACTCTGATATGTTTAGATTTTGACGAAGTTATTTTACTGTGAAGATGCCAAATGGACCGTAAATGACCCATTCATTGTGAATAACATTAAACTTGAATTTGTTCTTAATTTGATCGTTTTATTATTTTTTTTTTCGCACTTATGTTATTCAGGCATGTCGAGAATGGCGATGGTCCTCCAATCTTGAAAAATTTTCGTTTTCCTCAGTGAAATTGAATGACTTTCTTCATTTGTTTTGCTCACACATTTACACAACAAGGTTCGAACGCTTTCTATCCTTTTTTAGTGACCCGAAAACAATCCTCATCTTGTTATTTGATTTGTATAATGCTAGAAACCTAATTGTCATGAATTATTGCTTTTGAAAAAGACATTTCGAGGAATGATATATTGCTAAACATTTACAACGGCTGCTATTTTCGAATTGAAATCAGATCTTTCATATCGAGAATGGTGTCTGAATCGTTAGTCTTCGTTTTCAAATTATAATATGAAACCATGGACTCTTATTCGAGATTCGTCATTTCTATTTGTTATAATTATGCTGATAGTAATATTATCTCCCATTGAGCTTCCTTTCCTCTTTATTATCTCTTTCCTATATCAGCATGTGTTGTATGCAAAGTAGTCACGCTCTTCATCTTTTATCAATAAGGGGTTATTTTTGAAATGATTGTGAAATGCTTCTTAACTAGCTATTGGTTCAAATAAAATTTTTCGTATGAAAAAATATGTCATTTATGAGTTTATATCGAAAATAAAATAATACTAGAAGAATCATTTTTGATGTTACCCACTACCTATGTCATCAAGTTTTCATCGAAACCGATGGTTTCAATGATTTGTTCAAAATTTCGCTTTTAATATGCTGCAGAACAGTGTCAAATGAGCATCATCTTTAAAAAGTCATAAAACTGAAAAACTCAGCGAAAACAGTCGACATAGCTGATACAAGCGACTTAATCATACCCTCAATGATACGGCGGTGCCATTTTGATGAAAATGTAACAACTGCCTAAACGAGATATTTATAATAATCAATGAGAAGAACCGAAGGGTTGCACGACATGAGTGCAAATGGGTTGAAAATGATACAAATTATTATGAAAAATGCTGCTTCCATATTTGTAATCAAGAAATTTTAAAAAATTACTGCACATAAATTATGCTCGTAGTAGTATATGTCAATTTCACAAACGTCAGCATATTCAGTCTATGTAACTAAATAAAATTAAGAAAAAAAACATCGTTTTTCAAGTATGAAATCTTAACCAAGGAATGAAGAAAACATGCTTAATCTTTTACGAATTAAAGTTCTAAACAATATTCGAAAACTGTCTCGATCTGATACTTTCTTTTTCTGTATAGTTAGCTTGGAGGAATGGGACAAAAATAACCCAACAGGAGGTTAATGATTAAAGAAGAAAAACAAAACGACGAAATTATTGATGTAAAATTTGATATTATTTCCTTATAGATTTTTCAAATCAGTCGTAGGAGTTTTTTATAATTACATAGAACACATATTATTATTCGTGTAGAACGATTCGATTATATTTCAAAAGGAGATAACTTATATAAGAAAAAAAAGATGATAAACTACATGAATGGTAGTGTTAATTTGTATTTTCTAACTTATTATAGTATTTGTATTAATCAAAATATCATAAGTGACACAAGAACTTCCATTCAATGAAAATAATCGGAAATAATAAACGAGAATATAGTTACTAAACTCATAATTTATTTGTCTTCATAAGTAAAGAAACTTCTTAAGACACACAGTACCGAAATAAAAAATGTTTCTCAAGTGCTCAGTACTTCTCATTTAGCATCGGGTTCATACTTCCGGTTCGAATACAACTAACATCTTATATTGTTTATATAATAGTATATTTTTGTCAGCTAGGTATCATTGTTATTCATTGAAAACGTAAAGTATATATGAAATTATTCTTTTTCTATTGAGAAATCTTCTAAAAGCGAAAAATTCCCTAAGCAAAAACTTTTTTACACGCCTTTCCTTTATCACTAATGAAATGAGAATTCTGTCCACAACAAAAATACACAAAAGGTGTTTTTTGTCAGTCGACTTTTCAGTTAAATTTCCTTATCAGCGAAAAAAATTATATATAGCAGTCTGTCGAACTCATTATTAAAATTCTGTTAATTATATATGCTTCATTTTTAGGTGAACTGGCTTTGGCCATTCAAAATGATATTTCTAAAGCTCGTCATGAACTTGATTCTGATCAATGTCGTCAATATTTAAATCACCCATTTTTTACTAAATAATTAATTTTTGATTCATGTCGAGTAATAAAACAGAAAAAAAAGATACGAAAACAAAAAAAAAAGAAAGAAACTATCTTTATTCATCTGCAAATTCCATTGATTCATCATAACGTGCAGTAGCTGATGCTTCACGATGATCAACATTAAATATAGGATGACGACCAAATGTAAAATTTTCAACACGTTTATAAGCTTCAGATCTTTGTAATGGACCAAAGATCATAAAACAAACACCAAATATCGATAAAATTGATAAAACAAAAATAATAAGAAGTGAATTAGGAAATAAATGATTTGTCATTGTTGAGGATGTAGATGATAAGTTTTCATATGCACAATTTTCAAGTATACCGTTAATAGATATATTTGCACATAGAATTGATGATGACAAATTATTCTGAGTATGATAATGGCTGTCATTACGAATGCGTATCAACATTGCGTATATAAATACCGATCAATTATACAATACGTAATAGTTTGATACGATATATATACAAACATATAGTCTCTTTTGTAATACAGCTGAAGATTGGTTTCAATCAAATTGGCTTAATAGCTTTTGTTTCATAATTGTTTTGCCATCATCATTTTTCTTCGTTTACATATATTCATTTAGTCTACAAAAGAATTCAAATATAAGAGAGTAATAAAAAAAAGGAAAAGAAATAGAAACAAAAAAAAAAAAAAGGAACTTTGTATTTCTATGTTATTTGTTAAAAAAAAATGTCAAATCAGGCAAAAAAAAGAAAAGATGATGAATTAGTTTCTTTCTGCTCAGTTACCGTTAGTATTCTATATGTTTAGATTCTATGTTCTTTCATTTCTTATTCTCTGAAGAATGGAATCGAAAACTAGAGAGACATGGGACATAAATATTTCTTTTATGGTATGCTTTGTTCACATTACACATTTTTAAAAAGAAGCATTTGTAAAATGCAACAATTACACATACACATATTTATATATACATAAGCATGTATATAAATAGACACAAGTAAATAATAAATTGGATAATACAACTGGCTCTCATGAGGTTACACGATAGCAATATTATAAAACATACAGACGGCTGCATCTGTTTTCCTTAATGTAGGACCAAGCGTATAACGAGACTTACTTTTTTTTTTCTCTCTTTTTCTTTTTCTCTTCTATTCCATGTCAGCGACAAATTCAATATTCTGATCTACAGAGACAGAGACAGAGAGAGAGAGACAGAGAGAGAGAGAGAGAGAGAGAGGAAACAATGACGGATTTAGAGGCGGAGACGACGGGACAGTTGCTCCTCCTTTTGAACTTGTTTTTATGGTTTTTTCGACAGCAAAATCGAGCAAAAATTGTTTCATACCATTCTATAGAAGCTTCAAAACTCGGATTTTTTATGTATAATTGTCTACTTCTCTCTTGTGAACATCCTAAATTCACTGCTGAGCAAAAATTTGAATGACAAGTATCCGAAAAATAAGATGAGCAATAAAAATTAGTATTTACATTCAAAGGCAATAACTAAAATGAACTCAAAAATAGACATTTGACTTGATGAAAAAACCTACACTATAAAAAGTCATAGATGTTATAATTGTTCAATTAACTTTTCTTTTTTTTCTTTAACATAAGACAAACTGACAAATGCAAAATCAACAATGACTTGTCGATTTCTAATTAATGAGTTTCAAATTAGACAAGACACTAGCTCCCTCTGTCAAATTAATTTTTTTTCCTAAATAATACTTTTTTTCTTTTGAAAATCTAAGATATTTCAATACTTTTCTACAAGTAACTTTTGATAAAAAAAAATTTTTTTCTTCAAATTTTTTAAGTTTCAAAATACATATAAAAATATTTCTAATTGTTAGTTAAATTATGGAAATAATCCATTCAAGTTTAATATATTGTTTATTTGTTTCAGTATCAATATTGTCAACTTTTAAAACGAAAGTAAATGACTGAATCTTCGAATGATATAATCGTTCTTTCTGACGAAGAAGAAGAAATTAAAATAGAATCAGTTATTTCACCAAAACGTTCTAAACCTATTAATAAACCTCGTCCAGTTGAAACCAATACACCTCCAAAATTACCTATTAAACGTCATACACCAATTCTTGTTTTAACAGAACCAAAATCAATATCTTATGGTATTGAACGTGGATATAAATTAAAACATATTCATGGTGTAAAACGTTTAAAAACTGAAAATGAATTAATGTATCTTGTTGAATATGATTTATGTGATGATTATGAATTTGTACCTTCAAATATTTTACGTCAATATTGTAATGAAAATATTCTCATTGAATATCTTGAAAAATTAACTCAATTTATAGATTAAAAGCAAACAACAAGAGAAGAAATTTCTGTTTATTTTCCAGATAAAATATTCATAAATATGTCTTCTATTGTATATTCAATGCCATGTTCAATTGATATTCCATCAACAATTACAAGTGATATTAAACGACATTTTACAAATTCAATTCAAGTGAATAAAGATAATAATAATAAATTAGTAGCATCATTTCGTGGTCGACCATTAGATGGTGAACAACTTGATATACCTAATGATTATATTGGTATTCTAACAAATTCATCAAAATATGTTTCATCATTTGATAAATTCATTTACTTTAATTTGGATTGTTCAACATCAAAAAATGATTGTATAGCTCGTAGTATAGAATGGCTTTCATTAGCAAAAATACTTCATGAATAAAAATAAAAACTCTTCTTTATATATGTGAATAAAATTCTTCTGTTGATGTATTGTAGATTAAAAACTTAACATCATGGGTGCATATAAATATCTACAAGAAATTTATCGTAAAAAACAAAGTGATGTCATGCGTTTTATTTTTCGTATTCGTACATGGCATTATCGACAAGTAGCTGCTATACATCGTGCACCAAAATCTACACGACCAGAAAAAGCACGACGTCTAGGTTATAAAGCTAAAGCTGGATATGTAAATAAACTATTTCTTTTATTCATTATTATATATTTTTAACACGAAAAAAAAAATATACTTTAGGTTATCTATCGTGTACGTGTTCGACGTGGTTCACGAAAGAAACCAGTACCTAAAGGTCAAGTATATGGTAAACCTAAACATCAAGGTATTAATCAATTAAAATTTCAACGTTCATTACAATCTGTTGCTGAAGAACGTGTTGGACGTCGTTGTCCAACATTACGTGTACTTAATTCATATTGGATTGCACAAGATGCAACATATAAATTTTATGAAGTTATACTAATTGATCCATTTCATAAAGGTATTGACATCAGTATATTAATTTATTATAGAAATTACTTTTTTCTTTTTCTTATTTGATTAGGTGTTCGTCATGATCCACGAATTAATTGGATTTGTAAAGCAAATAAGAAACATCGTGAATTACGTGGTTTAACATCAGCCGGAAGAAAATCTCGTGGACTTGGCCATGGTCATCGTTATTCACTTACTACAGGTGGATCACGTCGTAAATGCTGGAAACGTCGACAACAACTTAGTCTTCGACGATATCGTTAAAAGACAACAACAATATAAACGCGACAACAATATCATAAAAATTTGTTTTTTCATTTGTTGTTGTTTTGTATTATTCGATCGAAAAATTAAAGAAGAAATTAAAGAAAAAAAAAAAAACGTTTGATAAACAATTCACGTTTATAAATATTTAATTTAAAAAAAATTTTATTCTTGCTGATGTCATTCATTAGAAAATTTGATATTTAATATTATCAAAGTGCAAATAAAGAGAAAACTCAACATAGGTACTATTTATTTGATACTGTGTTAGTTTAGCATCGATAAATAAAGTTTTTCATCTGTAACACATGTTCTATTAGTTCCGATATCACACATTATTGTTTTATTGATACAAAGTATAGTATAAAGTCTTATGAATAATTCCAGGCTAAAAAGCGCTATAGAATATATGTAAAATACAAAAAGCATTTGACTTTACTTGTAATGACTACTTAAAACTATTCAGAAGAGATGGACCAGTCAACTTGTTATAAAGTTTCGTGATTTACGTGTGAATTTACTGAGGAGTGTGACCAACGGTTATGGAGTTTCATTTTTTTAAAACAGTATAACACCTATTTCTTGTCAATGGCAAAAGCGAATTCTTTGAAACTTTTATTATCGATAGAAACCATTTTGATTAAATATGTGTAAAAAGTTCATTCGTTTTTCTTTAGCTCGAGTTGAGGTATTCAAAAAAAAAATACTGGCCGTTGCAGAGTTTAATAAAAAAATGGAATTTTTTTCTATAGCAAAGCTGAGAGTTGAACATTTTACTACGAAACGAAGTAACATACAAATACACTTTCCATATGAAAACAAGCTTAATCAGATTTTGACAAGCTTTCAGAATATCAGGTCATATTTTAACAAGCATTACTCTATCGAATAACAAATTAAATATACTGTTTGTTATGAAATCTCATCAAAAATAGAAATGACTTTTGGATGAATTTTCTTGACTCGTAGATATAACATTTTTACGAAGGTCATATGTTGAAAGAGTACTTCGTATCTAATCGGTCAATAACTAATTAAAGAATTTTTTCGAGCTGTCCACTCTAAAAAGGATTTGTCGTGTCAAGATCGCTCAATGCTGCTTAGGAATAGATACGTTTGGATCTCAAATACTATCGATTATTCTTTGTTCAATGGTAAACCCAACTTTCTTCACTTTCAAGTTCGAACGGTCTTCGTGTGTTGTGAAAAAAGTTTAACATTAATCTCTAATTAAATTTTAGTATGATTAACGTTCATAATGTCTTTCCTGACATTTAGGACCTACGCTGTCACAATAGAAAACCATTTTGGGAAAATATTTTTTCTATAGATGATGACATTGCAGGAACTACTAAAATTTTCTTTACCAATTTGTTCAATTCTTTCTATACGGAGAATAATTCTATTCAAATGGCTATCATCATTACCACTCAGATCGAAGTTACACTATTGGATTTGATAGGATCCCTGGACTATTCGTCATTATCCATTTGTTGAAAGCTATCCATATCGTTCGATTTCTGACAGGGCAGACTTATTGAATCCAACGAAATTCGATGGCATTAAATTATTCAGTTTTACTTTTTGTGATTATTAGACAACATGTAAAAAAAATTTATAATATTTCTTATGTTGATTCGGAATCAACTTCTATTGACCAAGGTCAAACATTTACGCCCTTAAGCGATTGTTTACGATGAGATTAGGAACAATACAACTCACGAATTAGTCAATTATCTTTTTATTTTTCTAATTCACAAAAAGAAACTTCTTCATGTGTCAAAGCGTTTCTCAAGCAAGATGATATTCCTTTAATAACTACTGGAGATTAATAGAAGTGTTTAGAATATTTTGGTTTTTCGAATCTTCGTTCTCGAGATATCGAAATTTTACTGAGTTTCTCAACAAAAAAGCTGCGATTCCCTTCAGGTCAACACCAATATCTATGACTAATAAGTTCGATATTCTATAGAATTCTCAGAACCTAACAAACCAAACATCTCTACATCTATATGGCCAAAAAGAAATCAAGCGTAAGAGAAAAAGTTATACCTCAACAGATACTGTTAAGCATAAGGATTTTATTATGTTTTTGGAATTGTCATAAACTCCTTGATTTTCTAGGATGCTCATTGAACTATAGATCTGTGTTACTGTTGCAGAGTAGAATTTTATACAATATCTAACTTTTGAGTTATGAGTGTATCTCACCAAATGAACATCGTCTCAATCGAAAAGCCAACCGATACTTGAGACGGTTCTCTCGTCAAATTACATTACGTAATGAAGTCCATCAAAAGTGAGTGTAAATTAGTAATTCTATATTTAATTCATTTTACATTTCTTATTCAACAACTATATGTTATAATAAGTTAAAATAAACTACCACGGACAAAATTAACGCAACACGTATTTTTGATAGATATTTTCATTAATGGTCAACCACGAAAAATACAAGTTTTTTAGAAACTTTTTTCGTATGTAGAATTTTGTAGAACTCGTTTCGCTGATCATTTTGGTAAAAAAAATATTCAAATTTAGTCAATAAATAGTGGCATTAGAGTCAAAATACTCAAAACTTAGGACTGTTCGTGACCACTGCTGAGTAGTAGGTGATATTTTCGAGTATTCTGAGCCAAGGTTCGTTATTTATGGAGTAAATTTGAATATTTTTTTTACCAAAATGATCAGCGCAACGAGCTCTACAAAGTTCTATAGACGAACAAAATTTCTGAAAAAATTATATTTTTCGTCGTCGGCCGTCAATGAAAATATCTATCAAAAATACGTGTTGCGTTAATTTTGTCCGTGGTAGAAATTATTTTGGACCTGTTAATTTTTCAATTAATTGCATGAGAGAAAGAGAGTAGTAGGAAGATGGTGATAATGAATGCAATGTCAAACAATGTCTAATGGTCATATTTAAATTCAAAATGATCTCATCAGATCCTAAGTATATCCGACATTTTCCGACTATCGCATCTAACAGGATTTCACTTTAGAATTCTTTATTCTAGATAAGATACTTGATAATTACAACTTTGATAAATGCAACATTATCAACTTTTTTTCATATTGTTGTGTTCGATGTATCAGCAAAAAACTTTTGTGCTGTGGTGTTGATTATTGTTGGTAATTGTTCAGCATTTGTAGCATTTTTTTGTCAAGTTTGCTTATCGACTAATAATTTTGTTCAAGTATTATTAGCGAATAGAATTTCTGTATCAGGACAAAACAGTATGACTTCATATAATGTAAGTTAATATGCATTTTAATTGCACAAAATATGTCTCACTTGATTTGTATGTTTTTGTTAAGTCGAGTCATAGGTGATCAAAAATTTTCTTTCACCAATCAAAGTCATAAATTGTCTAAAAACTTTTCAAGTCAAACCGCAGCAAGTCAAAACTAATTTGACTTGACTTGCGCATCTCTGCTGTTCAGTAATGATTATGACCATCGTTAATTCTTCCTTCTTTTATGTATTAGCTTTAAAACATTGCTTTGTTTTTCTTGATAAACAAGAGAGTTTTTCTTTTTGCTCAAAATATATCCAAATCATGTTACTCGAATGGCATGATATAACTGAACTTATTGAATGGTTAAACATATTTAACATGACTTCCTCTCTTAAAAATCTGTATAAGATATATCCTCCTTTGACATGTCACAGACTTTTTCGTTTTATTGGAACAAGGTTATATAAGAGTATTTACTCTCGTATTTTATATCTAGAACAATTCGTTACTAGAATTCATAGAATGCAATGTAGAACAATACTTATATGTAAAAAATACAATTTTACTCAAGAATAATGTTTTTGTCTTTAAATGGTTCAGAATTTCTTTTTGAAATATACTACTTTAAGGAAATTAATTTAATTAACAAATGCTGATTTTTGTTTTGGTGTTTCTTTTTTGTAAATCAGAATATCGCACATCTCAATTTGAAGTTACCTTTATTTCTGACGTGAGTGCATTAAGCAATAAACTGTTATAACGCAGCAATGAGATATTTGCAAACATGTAAAGAAAAAATTTGCATTGTTCTTTGTGTATATTTTTAAATTATTTAAAAACTATTCTATGATGGTCTAAATTATCGATCCAGAGAAAAAATTTTATTTTTATTGATTATGAATCACAAATTCCACTGTTTGTGAATAGTTTTACTAGAGAATTAT